CCCACGGTTGCTTGGTTGGTTTGGACTTCACTAAAGCGTACGACCTGCTTGACCCGTTTCTTTCTTGCTCCTTGCTTTGCCATCTTGGATGGCCGCTTGCGTTGGTGCGTATTTTGGAAAAAGTCTGGAGTGGCGTGCAACGTTGGGTTGGGTTTCAATCCGCTGTTCATCCTCAGCCTTTGGTTGGGCCGGCTATGCCTCAGGGCGATCCTTTAGGTCCTTTAATCATGACACTCTGGGCTTGGGCCGGTTGGTCGCGCGTGGAAGCTCGTTCTCGGCAGGATGTGGTTGGCATGTCCCGCATTTACATCGATGATCGGACATTTGCATACATTTGCTTCAAGTCGCATTTGGTGCCTGTATGACCGTGTCATTCAGTGGGAATCTTGGTCCCGGGACGTTGGCCTCCAGGAGAATGCCAGTAAAACTGCTGCTGTTGCTTCCACTAAGGGGCTGCGCAAGCAGCTTCGAGAGATCCTGCCTCGGTGTGCGTCAACCACTATCGAGATCTTGGGTTGTTGTACCTTCTCTGGTCGGCGGGCCTTGGTGCCTAAGGAGCGTGGTCGGTTGAATGCTGCGTTCCAGTGCATCCAGTTGCTTGGTTGTATCCGGCTCCCGTTTGACCGGTTCATGCGGGTTGTCAGGACCTTCGCAATGTCCAAAGCGGCCTATGGTTGGGTTGGTCGCTTTCCTCCTCTTGGGGAGTCCTCTCGCTTGTGGTCTGCCGCGGGTAGTGCGTCCCATCGGCTGGCCAGGTCGTCGCCTTGGTTGCGCGCTGCTGTCTTTGGTGCTTACGCCCACCTTGACTGCTTGGTTGCTACGCAGCTTGTTGGTATTGCGTGCAGGTTGCGTCGCAAGCGTAATCTTACTTGGATTATCACTGCTGGTTCCCCCCTCGGGACCCTTCACCGGTGGTTGATTGCGCATGGTTGGTCGCTCACTGGTCAGTTCGTCTGGAACCATGACTGCACAGGTTTAACTTTGGATCTGTCCACTGGCGGGGTCGTCGCTGGACAGGCTCAACATGTGGTGCGTGAAAGCTGGCGGGCGTGGTGTATTTGCAAACATATCGCCTCTGGTCGTAGAGATGCTGACGATGCTGACTGTTTCGTTCATCGTTTCTTTTCTTCCATTAATTGGAAGGCGACTCGTGCATTTGCTCATAGCTGCGCTGCCGCTCGTGCTGTTTGTTGTGGGGCTACCTTGTCGCCTGCCTCTTTGCAGGGCAGGTTGGCCGGTCGCCCTTCTTTGCTCTGCATTTGGGGTGATTGTCAGTCCGTTGGCACTTGGGATCACATCGCTTGGTCTTGTCCTCATAGACCTTCTTGTGTCCCTCGGCCTGCTAAACGTTGTGTTGCGCGGTGGGGTTGGGCCGTGACCGACCAATCCCCTGCTGAAAGGCTTGCGATTCAGAACTGGTTGATTGAAGTCCAACTTTCCCTCTGGAGGGCCTTTTATGGCTCTGCGGATGTGTAGTTGGGTGTTGCTTGTGCGGGTTGCGCCCACAAGTGCCTTAGGTGGCTCTCTGAGTGTGAGGCTCTGCCTTCCTTGATCCTTGGCACTTGGGTTTCTGACTGATAAGCTTTTCACCTAGTCGCTTGAAGCGGAGCTTGGCTTTGCTTTGGTGTGGTGTCTATTTGGGGGCATCTACACGTTAAAGTTCATCATCATGAGGTCATCCAACACATGCAGGGCATTGCACAGCATCACAAAACGGTGAACACATGACATAGAATCGCATTTGCCAGTGCTTCTTGCGGAGCATTCGGAGGCCAGTCATCAGGCTGTCCCCCCGGCCAGGGCACAAGGGATGAAAAAACTTCGTCCCTTCCGGAAGCTTCTCCACGAAGTCTCGCCGCATCGTCACCGCCTTCCGAAGCTCCATGGACTTGTCCAGCACCTGACGCCAAATCGGACGTGGAGGCCGGACCAACACGGCCAACCCAATCCACTGCGGAGCCGAGCTCCTATGACTGCAATGGAGAGCCTGTCAGGAAAACAGTCCTCCAACAGGCCAATAATTGTTTAGAATGTGAATGAACAAATACTGTATGTGTATAAATATATATCATGTTTAAAATACTAATGATGGTACTGTTCGTTGGCTGTGTCTCGGATTGAGATGGCTTGAGGTGGTTTTTCTGGCCGCCTTTTTACAAAGAAGAGACTGCGGGAGAGCAGGCACGTTCACAAGAGCTACATACCTCTATGATGATTAAGGAGCTGAATTACAGTATATTACAGTAATGTTGAATCCACTCGAAGCGTCTCAAACACAACACGTATATGTGATCGTGAAGTATGATAAATACAACCCAGGTAGGCATATGAGCAAGCAAATGGTCTCATCTGTGAACCCTGCCTTCTCACCCATTCGTTCCAGTTGCAGCCGGGTGAAGTACCACAGCTTGGCCACCTTGTCTTGCGCGAGGTACTCATCGATGGAGGCAAATCTCCTTGCTGATCTGAGAATGGCAACTTGATGTCTCTCGCTGGGCGGAACACAGATTCATCAACTGACTGCCATGTTCCGACCCATAGGCTATCAATGTCCTGACCACATATCCTCTCGCCACCATGCGGTCTTCATACATCTTAGGCAGTGCTAGCTCTGCTGGAGCCACAAGATCGACAAAGACCTTGCGGTAGATCCTGGGCGTCAACGCTGTCTTCAATACAGCTGCTGAAAGAAAAGGATGTTGCTACTCAAGATGCTCAAGGACGTTCCAAATCCCATGATAAATTACAAAGTGATCAGTGATCAGTGATCATCATCAAATTGTCATGAGTGTCATTGCTCTAGGATGGGCAAGACCTTCCTCATAGGTTACTTAGCACATGTGCTCAATGTCACCTCACTTCAAGGATTGCTTGAATGAGCCTTCATGGCAAGTCCCATCTTTGGTGGTCAAGTGGTCAAGGCACTTATACAGTAGAAACAACACAAACATATCTAAAGTCAAAGTCACTGGAACATTCATCGTAACCCACGGCCGAAAGCTGTCCTGAGGCCATCAACTTTGGAGTGGACAGTTCGCCCATGAAAAAGATCGCCAAGTAAGGCCACGTGGATGCTGGAGGTGTCCCAGCCTGCAGCTTTGGGCCATCAAATGCACTGCCAATTGCGGACAAAAAAGTTAATGAGTCCCCAAAGCAAAAAAAGGACATCGCCAACCGTTAAACCCATTTTCGATCAGTTGTTGCGCCTTTAGTCTCCAGGAAGCTGAACTCATCCAGCATCTCCTCCAATAGTTTGTGACTCACTCACCTTTCGAGCCTTGCGATTGTATAAGTGCTTGGACCGTTGGGCAATGCCCTAGAAACCAGAAGCGCAGTCTCCTGCGAAGGATGCTCGTGTCGTCCATCTCCTGCGGAACCAGCAACCACTAACCCCGTCAAACCCATTGAAGACACGAACCGTTATGATGGTGGAAACTCGAAAAAAATATCAATGATATCCAACGATATGGACTTGCGCGTGGGAAAATGCCGAGCAAATGCTGTTGCATGCTTTACCTTCCACAATGTCTCCGTCCGGTCTGCACCTGCATTGATGAAAGAGGCTCGTGGAAAGCCTCTCTGCTTGCAGTATCTTGTGATGGCCTCTTCAAGCCACCTGCAAACCCCCTCAACCTGTCAAGGCGTTTCAAAGAAACTGAGATTGCTCCAAACCTTATGAATGAATGCTTCAAAACGAACGGGAAGCACTGCAACATGCGTTGGAATACGAAGCTGAGCATCATTCTTTTTGGCGTTAAACAAAGCGCTCCCCAAAAAAGAGGCACACCTTGGAGCGGATCACGAACAGGCTCTGGCCCGTTGAGTAGCCGCATAACATTTTAATGGTGTCAGTGATGGTCTCATTCTTCCTTGGACTTGAAGTTGGAAACGCTTAACCAGTTTGTCTACTTCTCTGACATGCAGCAAAGACCACCAGCCAAAAACGGCTCAAAAAGTAACGATCAGTTTGGAGTTTGGGCTCCACCAGTACAACAGGATCATACAGGAACTGTGCATTAACTATACAACTGCACCAATTTTGGATTGAGAGCAGGGAGGAGAGAGCAAATTTATGCCATTGCATTATTTAATATATATATACTCTTTCCAAAGCAGTCTTCTGCCGCTATGCATCTGGAAGGATGAAGTCTTGGCATCAAAGACATTGACTTTGAGACCATGGAACTCCGCAGCATTCCGGAAGGACTCTTTGGTGCGTGTGGAGTCCTCCATGAAGACAGTGTACACCGCAGCCTCTAAGCAAAAGTGGCTGGAGGCCCGGTGTGGCCCTACAAATATACCAAAGAACTCGTCATGGGAATACATCGGCATCAATTGTACACTGTATAATTACTGTACGATACTGTACGTACATGACTGTGCAGTCAGATTGGTTCAACTTCATCTGTGCCTCCCGATTTTGAAGTCGAAATTGATCAAGATTTTCCCCTGTGCGAATAGCTTCCTTTAGCTCTCCTGGGCACGCTGGCAGCTTGAAAAAAACCCAAGACACCCTCAATTGAACTGAAATGAAATGGCAGCCAAGGTGCGGGTCTTGTGGTAGACATACCATTGCTCGTCCAGCGTCAAGTCATTCACAATGGCGATCTGGGCTGGTGTGTGTGATCAAAACTCTTGCAGCACCTGTCCCTCTTTTGAGTTCTAAGTCCATCCAGTGCAAGAAGTCTGGGGTCTGCAAAAGCGTCGGGGGACGGACACAAATCCGACTCCAGCGACATCACCAATCCGAGGTTCTGTGCGTCCCTGGAAGGGATGCTTCTTGACAGCGCCGCTCTGCTCCCGTTTCACGAGCTGATCTCGCGCCATGACCCCAACGGCTTAGGAGGTGCTCATCGAACCGCAACGGCTTCAGCTTAAAGTCGGCTGTGAGGGAAAGCTTGCAATACCGACGCACTTGACTCCACAGGACAGGGGCACGAACCAATTGGCAACTCCCTCGCACCAAAGCTTGTTTCTAGGCTTCCACCTGAGCACTTGACCTTGCAAACGCCCTCAGCACAACCGCCGACTATCCTGAAAGATCTTCGGACTCGTTGTGCAGGGTGGGGTCAAGAGCCGAAGAACAATTTTAACTCCCATGCGCTGGCAAGCAGAACATGAATCTCCCGGCAGTCCTACCAACGCAGTTTCGTGCCTGCATGCGGTGCACCAATGGCTCAAAATGGACTACAGTGCAACCTGGCCTGGATCCCTAGACTCAGCAAGCGGCTTTGCCATTCAGTGATTTCGCCCATGCGCAGCACCTCAGTTCTGATCCAAAGGCGAATTCTAAACAATTGCATTGGTTGCGGAGCCAGGACTGGCCTACAGCTCTTTCGAGCACAAATTTTGGTGCTGTGCAGTGCATTCACGATTCCTCTTGTTCAGTAGGTCATAAAGGCTCCCACCCTGCGAACTGCTGGATTTTCCAAGTCCACCTGCTCATGGAAGTTGGAACTTGCAAGCTCATGAAAGCTCACTCAAGGCGGACTTGAATGTTGAAGATCTTTCCCCGTGCATTGAGCCAGCCTTGGTGACATCTTTGGACTCCAAGATCCTGGAATGTGTTGAAAAGCGATGGGGATGCTGAGTTCTTCTGCATGGGCGTCTTCTTTGAGTCACATTGGAAGAGCAACTCTGATTCCACTCGCAGTCCTGTTGAGTTCATCCCAGGAAGTGCCATGGGCCTCGGCAAACCTGGCATTGTTGTCGCGATTCGCTTCCGATGCGCTTCAGTGGCTGAGCCTGGAAAGAACATGCAAATCATTGCAAATCTGACTCCCACGTCGTCATTGCATCTGCACATGTCAGGCCACAAGGTAGGCCCAAACACATAGACTGGGAAAATCAACAGGAAATATCTTACATAAAATGAGATGCCGGAGTTGCACTTTCATCAAAGGAATCACGTGTTGTCGGATTGGAACTCCCTCGAGGCGCTCCTCGGCCCGGAGTGGCAACTGGGACTGGGTCAAGCAAAAACGAAAGGAGGGTCATGCATTGCATACAGATGTTAACAACAATCATGTATGCATAGATATATATATATGTGTATATATATACACATACATACCAACTTGTAAA